CGAAACGTATGAGAATGTACCAAGTCCACGGTCTGACGCAGGGAATTATGATAAGTACTATGGCAGAGGACTTCGGATAGATGCGTCCAACTGTCGCCCTGATAACAGGGCCAAGTTGCATAACAAAGTCAACCAACTTCTAAAAATCAGCCTAAATGATATCAGCTTGTTTAACCGCGTGGTTACAAGGACTGCTAATTGTTGAGGCTGATTTTTTTCCTCAGCCTTCTCTACTTCTTACCACTCATTCAAGTGTCCATATACTTCATAGTAAATCATTGTGTTCTCATTAGTTGTGCTCAACTCAACGATATGTCAAAATAGATGCGAGCTTACCTTATTGCCATCATCATCACATTTGAGTAAGAATGTTCCGGGGTTTTAAGTTAATCAAAGTGACTTGCGTAACTTCATTTATAAACTTAGTTCATAAGTCGAAGGTATCAAGACCAGGATGGTGTGGCCTCTAAACTTCAAAAAATCCTAATCAATGTCTTAGAAATCATGTTATCCCTGAAAGAGTCAGATACTAACGAGATGATAAATTTATAAATGAGGGTCAACCTAGCCAAGATTGGATACGTTATCTTAAATATATTAAAGTTCGGACCTCATTGTACCGTTGAACCTTATCATATTTAAATTCTCCGTATAACATCCAAACTTACGTGAGAAATTCAGGCACCTTGGGAGCGCATATGGTGGCAATGAAAGACAATCCGAAATGGTATATCCGGACGATGCAGTTGGAGGCGTCGAATAAGTCGATGAGCACAGCCCACCAGAGGATTGGCTAAAAAGGCTAGAGAAGAGGGAAAACAGGAAACTAGCATAGGCCAAAGAACCAGCGGGTTGATTAGACAATTGAGGTAGCAGAGCAGGTGGTATGTTGCCTGAATGCATCGCACTCAGACTGCCAGTGTCTACTCTCATGGTAGATGGGGTTTTTCGGGATATGGGATTGGTAAATGCAGATCCAAGTGTAGAAATGAGATAATCAAAGGGACTTTTGAGCATGGCAATTGGAGGCACACTTGGCGAACGAAATTCGACGTCTTCTAATTTCACAGATTCTTTTTTGTCCTTGCAATGCGCATCAATTGTTTCACAGCCCTCCGGCCGGCTTTGCTTTATCGGTCGTAGGGACCCTAATTCATCGCTCATGTTACATGTGGCCTCTTTTTCACTCATGACAGCATTCAAATTTTGCTTTTTCATGATCTGATCTTCAGGCTCATTTTTAAATTCATCCCTTTTCCACTTTGGCTCATTTATACCATTAATCGCTCCCTCCTCCTCCTCCTCCTCCTCAACAATCTCCTCTATATCATCGGGTACTGCCATGCCGACAGGCCAAGCACCATCAGTAGCCCGTTTATCCTCGCTACCGCCGAGGGCCGCAAGTTGTG